TTCTCTGTTCATAGTTGAGACCAAATATATATCACTCACACACACTACACAACAGATAATGTGGATCAGATCATAGATGGATGAAGTTTAGCTCCCCCAGCCATGCCTGAGCATTCTATATAGCAATAATCAAGGCACCAATGTGCTGATAACAAACATCTGATCCTATCACAAAGTCAAGCATATTCACATACAAGAACATATCATCTGTAAACTTATCAAAAATGGTGAGCTATGGGTTGACTTCATCTGGGGAAATGCCAATCCTGCTGACATGTTCACCAAGCCTCTGCCCCATGATACCCACCACAGCTACCTTGGAATGCTGACCATTGTCTCTGTGGACTGACACAGATATGGAAGAGTGTTGGAGGATATCTATGTGTATACTATTATCCTCTCTTTTCAATTATCACTTTTTTCTATTCTTTTCAATTGTCACTTGTTCCTATTTACTATACCTTTCAATCATCACTCATTCCTACTTATCATATATATATACAACTCCTGTCATTACTCAACTGCCTATATAGCCTAGCCATAGATACCTGTATACCTCAGTCATTTCACTTATGCTGTGTCCAACTGAGGTATGTATATCATTACTGTACCTCTTACTATATCACTCACCCTCATTTATAGAACTCTACTTATATTCTTCTATTCATAAGAAAATCAGATCAGCCAGAACAAGAAGATCAAAAAGCTCACATTCAATCCTGGTCCTAGTGCATTCATAATGTGACTCTAACAATGTGTCCTGTTAGACCTCATTGTGTGAATCAAAAAGAGTACAAATCTTTAATATATCAGCAGGAGAGCAGGTGATAGAAGTATAGATAGAAGATGGCAGAAGCAGATTCAGATCATAGCATGTGTCTGTTCAGAGGCAGCATAGATACAGAGTGCCCATTCCACAGCTAGATGAACCAATTCATTTATTCACCTACCATCCACTACAAGATGTTCCATGTGGTGATAAGAGTGTGATTCAACAATATCCTACTTCATCTCTATACTCTATACTTCATCTCAACACTATACACTCTATCTAAGCCCCTACCAAAGTGGATGACCTTTGCAGCTTGTTTTCACATCTCACACTGGATTGACAGCAGAACACTAAGGTCAATTTATCTCACACACAATGTTGACTATCTTGACACTGGATCTCATCTCAGAATCCTCTTTACAGCCATTGGCTTCATTGACAATCCCATCCACCCCTCTCATCAAATCAACCTCAGCACTATTACCAGTGCCACAGTGACTATCAATCATGATGTCTCTGCAGAATATTTCAATGCTCTATGGTGATGGATGTGAGGGAGAGAGCCTGCAGGATTTCCTCAGCATGTTCTGGTGCATTATCATACCAGTGGATGAGAGGCCAGCCAAATTCAAGCACTACATTACAGCAGGATCCAATGTCATAGAGTGATATGCTGAACTTAAAATGAAGGACAAGATGAAGTGGAAAAAGTTTAGCATAGCATTTGATATGAAATAGCTGTTGATTTTAGTGACAGCAAAAACCCAGGAGAAGGAGGAGCTGACAGTATATATCCTGAAGGAGGAGCATCTTGGGGAGAAGATGTTGAATAGGATAGAGATATGGTTAAATGACTTGTGATCAAGAGAGATGCTGCACTTGGCAAAGAGAGTGAGTGTTGCAAATGAAAAAACATACATTGCCATAGTATAGAAGAGACTTCCATCAATCATCTGAGATAAGATCAGAATATCATTCACAGACTTGCAGGATTTCACAATGAGGGTTTATGAGGTGCTGATTGTAGAGATCACTGACTATATCAAGAAGAAGAAACAAGATAAAGAGTGACAGATGAAGACAGAGAGAGAGATCATATAATTTCACAGCACATTAGCATGTAGAGCTCAGAAATCACCATGTATAGCACTCAGCAACCAGCTTGCACAGACCAACTTCAGCCCACTGTCATCTCTATTGCTAGCACCACATTGTTTTGGTCATCTAAGACCTGAGGTAGGCAACACTCTGCCTGCCAACATACAACAGAGTATCTTTAAAGCCAAAGCTCAGCAAGTCACTTGGTTGCATAGTCATATTGATGACTATCTGAAGAAAGCAAATGATAAGACAGACTGGCAGCTTATGAAGAACAGAGAAGAGACTGGAGCATTTGTCACTCTGGCAGATGGATAGATTATGCAATACCTTACCTGCTCTATCTGGCAACAGTGCTTACCTATACTGGAGAGTGCTTCAGCTGTGAAATGAATGGCCACTCAGTTCATGATTTTTCCATTCAAGCAGGAATATATCACTCACTATAGATCCAAAAGAGAAGATTTGGTGCCAACTCAGCTACAAGGCATTAGGAGTATGTAAGAGAGATACTGTAGAGATGTGACTTGCTGAGCTAAGCAGTGAGAATGAGGACTAGGAAAATGGAAAAGGGCTGCATGTTTGATTGATACCTGAAGCACAGCTCTGTCTCCAGAGTATAAGATGAAGATTCAAGAGATCTCTGCAGGTGCCAGGTTGACTTGCAGAGATGTGTCATCAGACTCTGAATATTCACATATAAATGTTGATAATAGAAGTAATATCATTGATCTTTATACTGAAAGAGCATGAGGAGAGAAAGATGGAATGCATAAGATGAGACTCTTTATGCAGTTGTTCATGCTCAATGGACCATAAGGAGAAGTTATAAGGATGCTGGCAGCTGTCAACAATGGTACTCTCACAGAGATAATGTGTGCAGCAAAGTATGACAAAATGGTACATCAGCTGAGAATATTATAGCTATCATTCAAGAAGTTTTGTATGGTGAATGAGACCCTTGTATAGTCAAGAGGTTTATAGAAGAGGACAATGACATTTGGTCCAGCAAAAGCAAAAGTTATATTCAAGGTCTTTGCTAATAGCAGAGGTTAGAGCTTCTTGTTTGAAAAGCCATTACTTGCAGAGTTTCAGGCTGTGCATAACTATGTGGATGATACAATCAGCATCTCTGACCCAAATAGATATGTGAAGTTGGGAAATTGGGTTGATGACTCTGAGTGGTGGAGAGTGAGCAAAGACTGAGTCTCAGAAAAGCCAGAGGCAATGTGCATAAGCTCAATGGGGAATTCACATTCCCCTTCAAAAGAAGTTCAGCCTAGCATGCCTGCAGAGGATATATGTCATACTGACATATTACTGAATGAAGATACCCAGAACTCTACAGGTAATGATTCAGACAGCATTGCTAATAAAGAAGCAACCATGGGAGAGGGCAGTAGAACTGATATTGATAGTGGAGCTAACAGAAAGATCAATGTTGAAAGCAGTGATATAGTCTGTTTTAACAGATATATAAACTCACCAAGGAACTCACCATCCCCTTTGAGAGAAGTTTATTACTACAAAAAGGATCTTAGGGATACTTCAGATACTGATGATTGTTTGAGGTCTACAACATGAACAGATAGCATCAAGTCATGCTCCAAATTCATAGCACTTGCTGCTATGATAAGATCACAGTGAGATTGGACTGCTACATCTGCACTGAGGGTACCAAGGAGAGAGAGAGTATGGAGGAGTGCATAACTAAGCTGTCAACTGGCAAAAATAAGCATGAGACAATGCATAAAGACTGAGTGGAGGATTTATCTTTTCTCTCAAGAGAAGTATTCCACATAAATTCCAGTGATGAGTTACTGGCAGCTAACACCAATTGCACAGAGTGTCAGGAGCCTGCAGTTGACTACCTCAATGTAGAGGAGGGTGACATCATTAATGTCAAGAATGTTCAGCCTGAGATTGATCTTTATACAGATAAAGTCTTATTCACACAAGAGATGAATCCATACCATGCATGCCAGATCAAGGCCATTCTTAAGGAGATCATAATCAATGGTGACTTGACTGAAGACTAGTACAAGGAGGTTGTAGACTTTATGACAGAGTTTGCAGACTGCTTCATCTTGTCATGAGCAAAGTTCAATCAGTGTCTGACACTATCCACAAGATAGATATACCAAAGAACTACATCTTCAATACCAAAGTCTGACAGTATCTATTGATACTCATGCAGCAGATGTGGTACAACAATGAAATGTTGGAGTCAAGAATTATTGCTCCAGTTCATCTCAATGATGTGAAATGTGTCTTTTCAATCACTCTCCTCAGAAAACACACCAGGGTAGAAACACCCTATCACTCAATGAGCTCAAACATCATGTGAATGACCAGTACATTGCCATAGGTTTTTCTTCATCACATGATATACCAGATTGATCAGCACTAAGAGAAATGGATGCCACTTTTCTAATGGCCACTCCAGCCTGGTGCATCTGTCACAATTTCTGAAAGCTGAACAAGATGATAAAAGTAGCATTAATACCTCAGAGGAATATTCAGTTCAAGCAGAGCTTGCTATCAGACTATAGATAGATCATAGTATTTGATTTTACAAAGAGCTTCTATGCTTGCAAGATGAATGTATCCATACATCTATGTCAAGAGCCATAGTCTCTTCACATATCTCAAAATGCCATTTGGTCTGACAGGATCTCTGGCTACATTTTCTAACACAACAGAGAACTCACTGGGGGACTTGAAGGAGTCAACAGTGCAGCTCTTTGTTAATGATAGTGGTTTAGCAGGGTCAGACTTCATGAAGAAGATAGCAGACCTTCAAATGATGTTCATGCATATTTGAGAGAAGAGACTGTCAGTCTCAGTGAGAAAGATGCAGTTTTTTATAATGGAGATAATGTTTGCTGGCAGGAGAGTTGCTCTGCAAGGTATTCAGTCTGATTTGACAAAGTTAACAGCAATCATGATATGGGAGAAACCTAGAATAATGCTCAATCTGAAGTCATTCTTGAGCTTAGCTAGATACTTCAGAAAGCTCATACCTAACTATGCAAAGATTGCAAGGCCACTTTCTGATCTAGAAAAGAAGGCAGAAATCAGTGGGATAAAAATAATGGCAGAATGACAGAGATGCATAGTGGCAGTGGACTTGCAGAAGGAATGGGAGAAGGAGCAGGATAAGGCTTTTTTGGTGTTAAAGATGGTGTTGATCTCACAACCAGTACTCTATGGCCCACAGTTTGATGGCACACTATTTATTGTGACAATGGATGGTTTGAAGAAAGGAAAAGGCATAATACTTTCTCAGCAATTCACCTATACATTGAACAGTAAAATGGTTACATGGGTGCATCCAATTGCTTATGCATTGAAATAGATCTCAACATTAGAGAAGTACAAGCCATACTTACTGGAGCTCACCACCCTGAAATTTGCCCTTAAAAAGTTCTCTCATACAGTGATGTGCTTGGTGGTGGCTAAGTGACTAAGAGAGGTGAATGAAGAATGAACTCTCAAACACCAACATCTAACCACTCAATACACAATCACCAAATACAGTTGAGGTCAGTTCTTTCAAGTATAATGGAAGCACTCTTACAGTCTTAAGTAAAATCAAAGAAACAGTCAATAAATACAGTTATTCAACTCTATCTTGCTTTTAAAGATGCAATACTCATGAGAGTAGTTTATAGCAATGTTTAAGTACAATTAGGACTTAGAAGCAATGCACAATTGTGCTCTAAGTCAACTTAGAATATTCTGAAACCCAAATACTAAGTCTATCAAGCACTTAGACTTGACTAGCTGCACTCTTGGCTGGCTAGCAGTCCTCAAAACTGAAGAACTTGTATTCTGATGCCAAAACCCTTATAGTTTGGAACCCAAATTAATCTGAAACCCAAAATACAGTTATTATTCCAATTCAATCCTCTCTAAGTGACAAAGCAATCTAAATAAATCACTAAGTCAAAGCAGAACTCAAAATCTGTTGTCCCAGAGACTAGCTACAGTGGGCTAGAAGGCCTGAATGTGGGAGTGAGTCACTTGCTTCCTATTTCCCTCATTCTCTTTTTTTATACATCAACAATGTTATGATTTTTCCTATTTTCTTTTCCTTTTCCTCAGAAATGACCCCTATCTTGCTTAGTCAGGGCACTTAGGCTAGTGCTTAGGACTGTGGGAATGCTTAGCTCAGCAACCCAGTCAGTCACTCTCCTTTCACATTGCTGTGTGCTGTGAAGGAGAGACAATGCTCCTTTTGTCTCACCTTGCACTGCTAAGATAACGAACACAACAGCAAGACAACAGCTTTTGTGGAGAACCTGGCAACAGCAGGGGTAACAGCTCTACAGCAGACAATATCTTTTGTGAATGGATATTAATAGCCAGATAACAGAATAGTATTTAAGTAGCCTAGTTCTCACTGTAAATACCCAGTCTTGAACTAAAGTTTATTCTTCACCAAACTACTCTTGAGCTCTTACTACTTGAGCCTTGACTCACTACCACTATTAACTTTTGTGAACTCAGTCAGACATACCCAAAGTGTGAGGTACCGAACTGTTTATCATGTGTTGATAGTCACATGGGATTTGGGCTTAACAATTAGTTCGAGACTTTCTCATTCTCTTCCTCAAGCCCAATTGTGCTGAGGAACTGAATGCCCCCTGCCCTAAACCCTTCCAATCCAAACTTTACCCATGAGTTCTTCGAACTCTTGGCCTCTATTATAGGAATCTTGATCAGTCTTCTGGTGATCATACAGCTGTGCCATGGACACCAATTGATCATAGCTTGGACAATCAGGCACTATCACAAATTCCAACATATTTGAACTATCCTCTGCAATGTCATGCCAGACCTCTCCCTCTACAACATCCCTGCCTCTGCCCGACAGTCTTTCTGATCCACTGAAGGAACCGACCCAGAAAGTGTCTCTGAGAGCTCAGCTCAAGAGCATGCTAGAGAAGAAGAGGAGCAGTATCAGCAGCACACATACCTCCCACGACCCCTGACAGCAGTCGTCCAAAACCCTGACAACTCTTGGGCTGCAGGGTTTTGACAATCCAGATCTGACACCCCCATCCTGTCCCCCCAGCACAGTATCGCAGCAACCAGACCAGCAAGCCCCATCTCTAGCACCAGTCTTGGGCACCATGCTAGAGACTCCCTGGATACCCCACAGATGGCTCGAGGAACCTGCAGTCCCAGGGGCCATGGGTCCCGACACACTACATCAAACTGAAGTAGAAGTACAGACAACAGAGATGACCCCTATTGGAACGACAACAGCAACGAGCGCCACTGGTGATGAACCGCTGCTGCCGAGGCTGACAGAATGGAGCACTGCCCAGTTGGTGGTAATACTAGCAGAGCAGAAAGCATATGAGTGGTATCAAGCAGAACGTGACCAACCAGCCCCATCGTCCTGGGCCCCTTGAGAGAGAACCCGGTATGACATGCCTGAGACCTTCCCCAGTACCAGCAGGACCAGGCATGTATCGACAATGAGATTACGAGAGAGAATGCCCTCTTCAGGAGGTATCTCCAGGCACAAGCAGCAGAGGAGCACAGAAGAGGCAAGGGAGGTAGCAGGACCACAACTATTGTTGGAACCACCACCCCTGACTCGCCCTTCCAGGAACCTACCACTCCTGGGCCGACTACCATGAAGAAGAGACCCAGCTCCATCTCGACGACAACCACCTGTTATCTTACAGGACTGATACTATTGCAGAGACAGAGGACATCCCAGTCTGGGGAGATGGAATTCCAGCTGAGAGAGGCACCATCAGGGGAGATGATGAGGGTATTGACCCCACCAGCGATCTCAAAAAGTTCCTCGATGGGACCTTCGCAGCTCTTTTCCTCAACCCAAAGTTTTACAGAAACTTCTGCCAGTATCGCAGAGCAATGGTGCCTGGAACAACAACAAGCATCAAAGAGCCACCAGAGCAGCCTGAATGACAGCCCAATCCTCATCTCAGACCTAGTGATGCTGGACCCAGTATGCAGCCCCAGTCCAACCAAGCCAGCAATTTACGACCTGCCTGGCAGTTCCCTCTCCAAGGACAAGGAGGGAACCGACATGGATGATGAGGCCGAGGAGGTGGACCCCCATTGGGAGGGTGGGGATCTGCTCTTTAGCTGGACAAAAAAATTTAAACCTATGACAGATGAAGAATTATGACAGGAGGCATGCAAAGCAAGGGAGGAGGAGTTCACTTGGTTGTACCAAGAGCAGGTAGCCAAGTTATGGAAGGACGATCTTTGGTTAAGATCATTCTTAGGACAAAGGTATACTTTCATGGATTTTATTGAAAAAGAGGAGATTTTACAGTATGCAGCTATGGAGCAGGCTATTTTTAACTTTAATCAAAAATATTTACATTACCAGATGGGAGAAGGATGGCACCAAGAATGTGGATGCCGAGTGTAATGCCATCTAAAACAGCAGACATGGCATCATCAATCTGAATGGCATCTTCCTGATATTTGTTCACTACATCAGCTGTCCACAGCATGGCATCTCAGCTGGTCAGGAGCCAACCACAGGCAGCCTGGCAACACTCCGGTTTATGGAGGCTGCCACCCTTTCCATGACCCTTTGCTGGACAGCCACCTCCAGATGAAGCCGAAGGCAGTGGGGACCCAGTATCTGAGCCACCTCCCCCAACTGAAGATGACTCTGAAGCACTTGCCCAGGGCTGGACCATTAGGAATGAGAGGATCATGCGAAAGGAAGTCCCCAAGCCAGGAAGTCCCATTGCTGATAATGGGTCTCTCCATTTGTTCCCAGGACCTCCAAAAGGATGGGTGCAACCACCCCATGACAGACTCCCGAACCCAATGCCCACTCTCAATGCTGCCGCTCAAATTCTTCAGGTCAAACCGATCCTTTGTGCTGAACCCCACCCCTTTAGAGAGGCATCCGATGACATCAACTGCTTCCTGGTCAACTGTGACCAATACTTCCAGGTGTTTGCCCTATACTTCCTTGCTGACATGTACAAAGTAACATTCGCTGTCACCCACATGGCAGACAAGGCCAAAGTGTGGTGGGTCCTGATCGCTCCCACCTTCTGGTCTACTACCAGGGACCATCACCAATACCCTGCATGGCCAGTCTTCAAACAAATGATCAGGGACAAATTCACAGATCCCACTGTACAGGAAGTCCACAAGCAGAAAATGAAGGAATTCAAGATGATCAGAAAACCAGCCACGGATTACTTTGATGAACTAGAATGGCTTGGCACCCTCACAGGGGTCTGGGAGGATGTTGCCAACACTGGATGGATGGTCGAATATATGAAGATGGGATTACCTTTTCATTACCTCATAACCACCTCGGACATTGGCCGAGACATTCCAGTCAGCTATGATGAGTGGAAGGGCTGAATCATCACTATGTACAAGGAACAGCAATGGCAGAAGGCAGAAGTGACTACTCTAGCCTATGGCCATCGAGCCCAGGGACAGGGACAGGGACAGGGACAGGGCCCGAAGCCCTCCACCTCTGGTATGACCACATCCACCAAGCCTGGTGGTTCGACCCCAACTTCTTATGGAACGAAGCAAACCGGTATGGGCACGACATATACCAGAATGGGTCAATCAATGGATGTGGATCGCCTCAAGAAGGGGGAGAAGTGTTTCAATTGCAGCCAGAAGAGCCATATGGCACGAAACTGCCCTCAGAAAAAGAACAAGCACATGAGGGAAGAAATCCAGGCCCAGATTGCCGAGCTGATAAAGGAAGACAAAGGCCTCCAGGATGATGACAAGCCTGAGGAGGTAAAAAGAGGGGCTGAGCAGTGAGCAATTCCACTGACTCAGCCAAGGACGTGAATAATGGGTCACAAACTGCTGGACAGTCTAACATTTTATTTTCTGTAGCACTGCCCCTTATGCCTAAATCATGTATGCATTCGAATATACCCAATCCCATTATCCACCAATCAGAATCACCTAAGGAACCAACTCCATCGACTCAAGCACCGACGAAGGGCAGAGAGCCCCAAAGGTGTGTCATCACCAGTTCATCAGACTAAAAATAAACAGACTCAATCGCCTCTGGGCCAAACAAGGGCAGAGGGCCCCACAATGTGGCTCAAGCCATTCGATACCAAATGAACTTGGCAAGCCATCAAAGATGCCAAGGACGAAGCAGTGGCAAGAGCCATACTCAAAAACTGTGTTACGATTTTACTATTTTCTTTTTCTTAACCCCTATTTTGTGCTTAGTCATGACACTGGACCACGGGAATCTTGGTCAGCACACGCCAATCCA